ATATGCCTTCTTTTAAGAATGCCGACTGCTGTCATCATTCTTTGTTTAAATCAGGTCTCTCTTGTAAATGAGTCCTCGAGGCTCACTGACACTAACCTGTAGAAATAAAGGTTCAATGAATGTCTGTATGTGAGTACACTGTTGGCAACCCTGAAAGTTTCCCATAAAAGGAAATATTTCTCCATAAAATTATTACAATGATATATTTTATTATACACGTCTATTTAATTTGTGCATATTGGAATAACACAAGAAAACAGGGAGAAAACAACAACAACAAAAAAAAGATATAATTTCATGGAAAACTCCAAAAATGGGTTGAAGAAAATTATTGGCACCTTTTCAAAATTTTGGCTAAACTTTGTTTCAAGCATGTGACGCTTGTTTAAACTCACCTGTGGCAAGCAACAAGTGAGTCAGATAAAAAGGACACAGTTGACTCAGTCTGTGCATTGTGTGACCAAGTGTGCCACACCAAGCATGGAGAACAGAAAGAATAGCTGTCTGAGGGCCTGAGAACCAAAATTATGGAAAAATATCTACAGGCTCAAGCTTACAAGCCCATCTCCAGAGATCTTGATGTTCCTTTGTCCACGGTGTGCAACTTAAAGAAGCTAACAGCCCACAGCACTGCAGCTGATCTCCCTGCATGTGGACAGAAGAGAAAGTCTGATGAAAGGTAGCAGCGCAGGATAGTCAGAATGGTGGATAAGTAGCTGTCAATCAGGCTCAGGGTGCAGCAAATGTCCCCACGAACTGTCCAACATTTGAATGAAAAGAAACATTATAGCAGGAGACCCAGGAGGACCCTGACACAAAAAATAAACTGCCGTTTGCCCAAATCCTGCTGGATCAATGTCTTGTGGAAAGATGAGACAAACATAGAGCTTTCTGGTAAAGCACATTGTACTACTGTTTACTGGAAAGAGAATGAGGCCTATGGGCCTGGTGATTGAGTGCTTAGAGCAGTTGTCCTCCAATGGGAGGGTTGGGGGTTTGATTCCACCAGCAGTCACATGCTGAAGTGTCCCTGGGCAAGACACTGAACCCCTCATTACCTCTGATGTGTGTCCCATCAGTGGATGAATGTGATTAAGCTGATTCTCACTGATTATTCTTAGATCCAGTAGAGTGCTGTATGAATGAATAAATAAGGACACATTGTGTTGTAAAGAGCTTGGAGAATCTTGATAAGATAGAAAGAATCTATGTAAGTACATTCCATTTACCATTTACAAAGTGAAGAACACAGTCCGTACAGGCCGTTATGGTGGAGGTTCAAAGACGTTTTGCTGCTTCTGGCACTCGGTGCCAAGGCATTCTGAAATCTAAAGATAACCAAAGGATTTGAGTCTCATTGTAGGGCCCAGTATCAGAAAGCTGGGTTTGTGTTCAGGTCATTGGTCTTCCAGCAGGACAATGACCCCAAACATACAGGTGCTGGTCATAAA